CGCGGCCCAGCAATTGAAATGCGGCTCGCCGACCGCCGACAGTTTCCCGTCGACTCGTGCCAGCTACGGTCCTCTCCACGTGCTTTTTTCTCGTGCATCTCGCATCGTGTCTCTCTCTAGCCAACCCGCGTGTTGCAACACGCAGTTTGTCGGCATGGCAACGATCGGGTCTGATGTCACGCGTGTGGTGCTTCGTTCCGCGATTTGAACCTGAGGATTTCTGATCAGCCGAGCTGATCGACACGACCAATTCCACATTTAACGTTGCTGGATATTTGCATCGGATGGAAAACTATTTAGAAGAGACATATCGGACTCTACTGTTTGGAGCTGGGTGAATGTGACTTCTGAAGGAAGCTGAAGAGTGGATTTCAAAAAAGTTTGCAAGTGTGAGATTCAGTCGAAGTTGTTGGTGGACTGTGTTAAGCCGGCAACATCTATCTGAAAGAGAAATACGAGTTTGGACTATTTGGAGCTGGAAGAAGAATGTGACTTATGAAGGAAGTTGGAACTAGACTTCAGAATAATTCATAGTTGATTGTATGTTATATATACGTAAAAGATATAAGTTTGAACTAGTTGGAGCTGGAAGAAAAATGTGACTTCAGACAAGTTCTGAAAAGTTGGGAAGTTTGAGATTTGGTACGTGAAGTCAATAACCGTCTACCTGAGAAATACAGATCCAGATTATGTGCAGCTGTGAAGAAAATTGTGATTTTTAATTGAATCTACAGATTGAAGCTCAGAAAGATTCGAAATTGAATGAAAAGTAGATTGCGATCTCTGCATTGAAAGTACTATGATTAACAAGAAATTGTAACTCTAAGCTGTTTGAAACTGTGAGACTTCAGATTGAAAATGGAGATTAGCTAAAAAAGTGATGCTTGGTGGTTTGATGCTTTTCTTGGTGTTCGAAGAAATTTCAGACTGGGGTAGTTTGTTGTGAGTTATGTTACATTGAAGAAGCTACAATTGAGGGAACTTTGGGATTGTAGAGTATGGAAGTTCGGACTGTGCTCAAGAAATAAGTAGTTTGGAACATTGATTAATGTTGAAGTTTGAAACCTGGATAATTGATTTACTGTGGACTATACTGAATTAAAACGACTCTTTGAAGGAAATGTGATCTTGTGTTGGAGAAGAGAATTGTGACATTTAGATTAGAATTAAGTTTGCACAAGCTGCATTGAGTTGCAGTAAAGCTGCGTTTGAGGACTATGAAAGATATCTTACATTGGGAAGAAATGACTTCTAGGGATTTCTCTTAGACGTAACGTGATCTACTAAAATTAAAAACTGTTATCGTAAACTAAGTTTGAGCAATACTAGTATTATAAAAAATAGTTAAAGTAAATGGAACATATATTCTCGGTAAAAATCGTACATTGCTAAAACTAGTGTTTTTGTATCTTACCCTCACAGTTCGCAAGACTTCACATCAAACTACATAGTCATAAAATCACCCCAAATCAATCACCGTGGTTAAATAATAATTGCAAAGCATTGTACTTTCTAAAACAACAATTAAACTGAAGATTTAAAAAGAACAGGCTTTTTTTTGAAGACCGAAGGATCTTTGCGCAAAAATCTCTTACGAATCATGGTGAAGATTATACTTCATTGAAGATATCAATCATCGTTTAAGAATCGACAAAAATGGATTCTAACGTAGAGGAAACGGAACTTGATGTTGGATCAGCGAGCGACGAACTCGAGTCATCGATAGCGGAATCGAAATTGACACGTCGACCAACTCCAAAACCGTTTACCATCGAAAGTTTGATAGGAAATTGCGGTGCACAGAAAGGAAATTGTGATGCAACGTCTCAAGGAGAAAGAACGAATGAAAACGAAGAGGATTCCGATAGAGATAGAGAATATCTATATCAGAGACACTACCTGGCGACTGCGGCGGCAAGCGCTCTACCACCTGGTTGGTTTATGTTTAAAAATGCATGAAATGTTTTCTTACTTTCCATTTTGTACTCTCTTTCCATTCCTACTGTTTCTTTTCTCTGGTTCTTTCTGTTTCACGATTTTAATAACACTTGCGATTTTTTAAATTTTAAATTAAATTTAAGATTAACTTTTATATTTTTATAATTGAGTTTTGGTACATTTTTGTTAATTAAGGTATATTTTTATATTTGATACATTTTGGTATATTTTATGTTTAGTACATTTTTATATTTTGGTATATTTCCACGATCAAGTTTATTGTTAATTTTTACAACTTTGCAGTTGGATTTAAAATTCATTTTCATAACTTTTCATAACGAAATTTAATATTAATTGTATAATAAAGTGTGATCATAATTACAGTTTTATCCTGAAGTTTACAATTTTTACAATTAGTTTGCTACTAATTAAATTACTTTATATCTCCATTTGATAATTGCAAGTGAAATATGTCAGTGATAGTCATATTTCAACCCCTCGAAAAAATGAACAAAAGTCCAGCTTTGTCGAAATTTTATCTACAAATATAATAACAGAACTAACATGTAATTACAAAAAATTTAAAACAATCTATTGGCAATTGTACCTAAATAAACTCTAAATTATTTCAATTAAATTTAAAGGGATAATTTTACCCTTAGGACTCGAAGACTTTATTTTACCACCCAAAGTGTTTCCTCGGAGGAAATAAATACAAATAATACTTAATTCTAATAATTTTTATATGAACAAAATTACAACTAAAAATCAGCTGAAAAACATTACAATCCACTTATCAATTCCCACGATTTAAAAATCATAATTCGTGTCTCAATTCTATATCCGCAGACTGCAATATGTCGCATCAATCTCGTTAATGTCAAAAAGCGACTGACTGCACTTTTTCAATAGTTAATCTCAGTTACATATTTTACAATCGTCTTTTCGTTCTCGGATATTGCAGGTGCCGGATGTACCTTGCATAATTTAATTCCTACACGTCCTACTTTCGTCGCGGGATGAAATCTTCTTCTTAAAATAAGTCTCGTTCTGAACGTCATTCTAAAAGTTACATCATCTTACGATCATCCGAATTCGTGTTAATCTAATTGAAATATTATATATACTTAATTTGATCATTCATTCATTTACAATATCCAGTTTATATTATATGTACAGTCGTTTCGATTTAGCACCGGAAGATTATGAGAAACTTGAATGAAACTCTTGATCGAAATAGTAGTCGTTTCATTCACAGAAATAGAGGGATATTTGAATCGTAGACAGGAAGTGTTTCCTGATTTATTCGATAAAATATCGCTATAGTGATATTTCTAGCGCAGGATCAAAGGATAGTAAGATGAATTAAATATCGATTACCTTGGTTATTAATAGTCTTTTCATTTGTACTAACTTTTCATTTGTACTATCAAATATTTCATTTTTACTGTTAGTCAATTTTTTAAACTTTATGACGACTGTTGGACAAGATTTTTTAAACCGCCTACTGGTTGCTGTTACTAAACACTTATTATTTGTAAATTAATTTCAGTATATGTATTATATCGTTTACTCGCACATCTGCGCTTTCACGTAAATTTTAACACCTTGATACTGTTACCTAATCTTGATTTACCTAATTATTAATACAATTGCGGCATAAAGCATAACACATTGATTATCATGTACTGTTATCTAATCTTGAGATGTATAATTTTTATCGCCATCTCCTAACGTATTGAACAAATACTGTCAGCTAATCTTGATATCATATAATTTTTAATACCCTCGTTATATTTTTAACAAGTCTATTTTTATCCATTCTATAACACAATCACTATTTACTAATTTGAAAATTAATCTCCGTTAAGTACGAAAAAAGATAAGCTTGCAAGGGTCATAGATTCCTCGAATATCAAAATGTTAAATGTTATTTTAACAAGTCACATTCTCAAATGCAATTATAATTAATTCCCACTGTCAAGTTAAAATTACGAGCGAACAACGTAAACCAATTTACGAAACATTAATTAATGCTCGATTCTCCAGGTTTTGGTATGCCACTCGGTTTATACGGTGCATGGCTACCAATGCGGATGTACGGTAGCGGCGGGACTTCCGGTGTTCCGATGTTACCAGCGCATACCTCTGCCAGTTATCCGTCGCACCAGGATCTCTACCAAAGTCGATTATCGCAGCATCTGGGTACGGGAACTAATCATCTTCAGGGTGCAGCTTATCCGGTTGCTTGTCAGCGCGCTACGAACCATCGTGGTTCAACCAGCTTCACGGATAGCGAAGATGATGGCAGCATCGATTCTCCAGCATCTCCTGCTCATGATCTCTCCAAGTCCAGACAAGGTGACATTCTTCTTCTTATCTTCTTTATTTCTTTCTGTTTTATTTGAACAAATTTTTATTTTAGTTTTCAAGAAAAATATTCTTGTGATTAGGTTGTAATTTACTGGGTTTTGTGAGTCAAACCTGGTGTACATTTTAGTTTTATTTTTTGAGTAAATTACTCTTGTGAATAGATAGTAATTTGCTGGATTTTGTGAGTCAAACTTGGTGTACATTTTTATTTTATTTTTTGAGTAAATTATTCTTGTGATTAGGTCTTTGTGAGTCAAACACTTGATGTATCTTAGTTGTATTTAAATACAACTTGCAACAGGAGACCTAATTTATAACTAACAGATACATGTATACACATTCTGAATAAATTCCTGATTAAATACATACATACATTTTTGATTAAATACGTACATACATACATGCATTTTTCATTGAATACATACATACATATATTTTTTATTAAATACACACGTACATACATTCTTAATTAAGTACATACATATATTCTTTAATAAATACATACATACATACATTTTTTATTAAATACCAACATACATGCATTTTTGATTAAATACATACATGTACACATTTTTTTTTTAATACATACGTACAGACATTCTTAATTAGGTACATACATAGACACATTTTTTACTAAATACATGCATATATGCATTTTTTATTAAATGCATACGTACATTCTTAACTAGACACATAGATGCGAATACTACCTTGTGCGGGCGCAGCATCCGCTGTTCCTATTTTAAATTCACAATGACACTATCCCACGAAAAAAAGCTCATTAGAAAAATTTCTCCGTTCGTCCTATCGAGCATCGATTCACCGGAAAAGTATAATCGACGAATTATCAGGGAGATCGAAGAAATTTCCCGTGCGACGTTCCTGCGTTCGAGGAACAAGGGTTCTTCGTCGAATGGTCCGTTCGTCGAGCGTTTGAAATTCGGCCAGGAATCGACGTGTACCGTATCCACGCACGTAAACCGTGCGTGTGCTCACGGAATGTCACAGGTGTGCGTGGACGCGTGTGTGCGACCGTGCGAGATTCGACTTTGGGGCGACTCTAATTTATGCACGCTACTGTGTATCTCTCGGGTCCTTTGCCGGCTTCGTTCGTGGCTTCTGCGACCGTAGCGGAGGATACGCTCCTGGAATCTTTAAGTGTCCATCGCGATTTTTTTCGATTCGCGTACCTTGGATAGCACAGCTGTAGATTGCTCCTTTATTTTCTTTTCTTACCCTTATGGGGAAAGCGTGAAAAAGGTTTGAATTTAGTCATCTCTTTGAAGGCGATAAAAATTCGCTTCGAATTTTCAACTCGAAGTGGTGAGGCTTTTTGGTAAGGGTTTTCAAGTAGTGAGGCTTTTATGATATCACATGTTGTTTCAGCTATATTAGGTGAACTACTATGATGGTTGAATTAACTGTGATAGTTGAACTAGATCACGTGGTTTATGTTCATTACGTAAGGTATAATCACATTTTTTAATTATTTCATGATGAAAAGATACCCTAATATAGGTATTGAACGTAGAAATCTTGCATAATGAAGTACTTATGCTACCAAATATTTGTTTGGTAATTAATGTAGTTGGGTGTAGTTAGGTTATGTAGTCAGGTTATGTGGTTAGGTTATGTAGTCAGATCATGTAGTTAGGTTATGTAGCCAGGTTATGTAGTTGGGTTATGTAGTTAGGTTATGTAGTCAGGTTATGTAGTCAAATTATGTAGTTAGGTTATGTAGTCAGGTTATGTAGTTAGGTTATGTAGTCAGGTTATGTAGTCAGGTTATATAGTTAGGTTATATAGTCAGGTTATGTAATTAGGTTATGTAGTCAGGTTATATAGTTAGGTTATATAGTCAGGTTCAGGTTATGTAGTCAGGTTATGAAGTTAGGTTATGTAGTCAGGTTATGTAGTTATGTTATGTAGTCAGGTCATGTAGTTAGGTTATGTAGTTAGGTTATATAGTCAGGTTATGTAATTAGGTTATGTAGTCAGGTTATATAGTCAAGTTATGTAGTTAGGTTATGTAGTTAGGTTATGTAAAGTCATGTAGTTCAAGTAAACCAAATAAATTTAACATACTCAATTTGATATATCATTTTATATTGATTATATGAAACACAAATAATTATCTTCTGCAACTACTCTCAATCATATTCTCCCACCATGTTATAACGAAATGATATTGCAAGTATGAGAAAGTTTTCCAAAAGTTCCGCGTTTGGAACCGATGAGATAAAACAGAGAACATGACGAGGCTTGTAAATTTTGTATTATCTGTCGCTGAAAATTATAATTATAATTGCTCGCAACAATATTCAACTTAATGAACGCTGATCACGAATCTACCAAGTCACGCGATACGCTGCTTGCTTACTAATCATTTTTCGTTCTCATTTCGTACAATTTATTGTTCCTCTCTTCTTCGAAAGTATACCACACAGTAATTGACGATTGGCTCGTACTAATAATGTTGTTCATCAAACGTGATTATAGAGTCAAGTTTATTCTTGTGCGAATATTTATTTCTTGTGCTTTTGAAAAATTTATGAATACTACTATTAAAATACAGAGTTAAAATACACATTTTGCATTAAAAAAACATTTTAATATACAAAATATACAATTTAATATACAATTTAATATACAAAACACACTGAGGATGATTTCACATTATTTTGCATATTCAGTATATTTACATATCAACAGTAAAGTTACTTAATATTTTTGCCTGGTTTTTTTTTTGTTAATATTGATGTATAAGTTTATTGGCACATTCTGTATATTTCGTTACATTCAATATTTTGTGCAGATTTTGAATCATTGCATTTTCAAGTCTACTCTTATGCGACGCACCTGGTGCGTCCTACAGTACAGTAGGTGATCATATTATTGGAGCCACCTAATTAAAGATTTTCTTTTGAAACAATTTCTGCTAAACAACAGTGTACGTTGAACTTCCACAACAACACACCCACATTATATTTTCTATGAAATATGATAATAATGATGTTTGCAAAATACTAGAAAATATAGGCATCATCACGATACAACACCCATACATGTAGATCTAAATAAAATATACTCTAATCTAAATAAATATAAAAATATAGATCTAATCCAAACTGCATATGAGAGCAGAATGAAAATAATCTACAGAGAATTGTCTCGTGAGAACAGAATGATTTCCATGTTTCACCCCTCTTTCCGACCCCCGATGACGAGCCTGGTTATTGACCCCTAATTGTGTTGTGTAATATAAATAGAGGCAATGATAGTTATGATGGAAATATCGAGAATGGTAGGAGGTGGTCTATCGAAGATGGAAAGTCGAAACTCGCCGATCACGTATTTCCGAAGGCGGCGGGGGCGAACGGACGATCGACGAAGTCGCGCGCATTTATTCGTAGCCGATCACTTTTTATTGATGTACCGCCGACCGAGGCGATTTCGTATGCGCAACGAAATGGCTTCGAGGAATCTGTCATCGGTCATTTATGACGCACCATGCCGAACCGGTGTGCCGATCGTTACGACGAATCACACCGATCGAGACCCCTGCCCTCTCTATTCTTGGCCCACGATTGTCAAAACGTTCCATCCAAATCTGATCCTACTAGCTTATGCTTCGGAAGTTCTTCAGTGTTTTATGTTCATAATTAGGTGAACGTGATGGACCCATTGCAAGACAACCATCCCTGTTGTTGCATAGGAAATAATAAAAATACAAGGACTCTAAAATATCTTACATGAAACATATTCTTGATCTGCAATCTGATCTTGAGATCTGAAATTTTAGAAAAAATATTGAGCACAATTTTAAGAGTTTCCTTGATTTAAGAAGACAATTGCCTTGTTATTAAAATTATGAACAATTGATTCTTTGAGTGAAGCTAGCTTTGATCTTTCTTAAATAAAAATTCTACAATAATCCTATTTTACTGTAGTAAGCAGAATGGGACTTACAGAGAAATATAGTAACCTTTTAATTAATAAAGGTGACCTGAAATATTTTCCTCCAGTTTGTATTAGATTAGAAAGTCTTTTGAGCCGAATACAGAAACATTTTTCATTTATCTTGAGTTGCGAGTTTTTAATGGGTAAAACCACCCCCTTAAGAATTAACAGTCAATGAATAAGATAAATAAATCATTTTAAATACGACTAATAAATGAACACGTTTATTTGTAACCCATGATCTTAAGAATTAACAAGTTTGAGAAATTAACAAGATTAAAAATCTACTAACTAACAATTTCGTTCATGAATCAAATAAAATACCGTTTGACATTTTAATTAATGTAGGTCCTCGATTATAGTTACTTATAAAATTGACCACTCCCAATCTTCAAACTATTATTATTAATTATGTTGTTATTATTATAACATGATTTTTGCGAATTTATTATAAAGAAATTCTTAAAATATTCATTACGAATTTTCGTTCTAAATAGCGGTACCTGATCTTGAATAAAAGAAATACTTGTTTGAAGCTATAAAAATTTGATATGAAGTATTGAACACATAATGATTTATTTAATAATAGTTTGTAATAAATTCATGAAGATCACCTTTATTTTCAGAATTCTAAATTTGATTCCATTAGTTAAGTAAATGTATTGATTTCATAATAATCCATTGAGGAAATTGCCGTGTGAATCTTAAAACGAACTCTATCCCGCTAATGAAATTCTAATCGTGATTCTTCGTTTACGGAAAAGTGAATTCATGAATGAATCACGTTAAATTGATGGTTTTACTTGATAGAAGCTCGCAGATAATGTTTCAGATGTCAGACAAACAGCATAGTAATTAACTCTTGAAGACTGTCATGAATGAAATTTCATGGAATGAAATTTTCCTTTTAATATGGCTGATGAATGCATTAACTGATCGAAATTTTCGTGTTCTTTATCTGTTGTATTTTTGAGCTTCTATTTTTTACAATTTCTAACTTTTCTATTCTTAAACTTACAAATTTCTAA